CTGCTGGCTCGTTTGGATAGTACTTAACCGGCAGCAGGAGGGACCAACATCGAAACCTGCAGCCCACACCAACACCCACAACCAAACTCCAAGAAGCACCCAACTCTCACACCACAAGATCTGGCGCAGGCCAGCACACAGGCGACCCAACTGTAACACCAGACCCACCCCAGCCACCAGCTCCAATCCCCACAACTGGTTGGAGTTCTGGCTTGTTCAGTCCACTTGGTTCGGTTCGGTTTGGTTTGGTTCGGTTCGTTCGCCTGTCAATTCACTCAATGACTATACAAAGCTCGCCCCATCCCCCCCCCCCCCCCCCCCCCCCCCCCCCCACACTTTGCGTGTGTGTGTGTGTGGGGGAGAAAATCTCTTTTAATTGCCAATCGTGTGGAAAAATGAATTTTCCATCGAATTAGTATTCTGTGGCTGAAATTCATTCATGAAGCACTCATTAGGAAATCCTCAACTGATGTTCGTTCGGCTACCCGCTCCCCCCACAGGACTCTCTTGTTGTTTTTTTTTTTGTGTCTGTTTTTGCCCCCCCTTCCCCGCCTCCACACGTTCTCAGTTTCTCGCTTGTTATGAGTTGAGTCAACATATTTTGCAACACTTACGAGCACGAGTATGTGTGTGTAAGGGAAAGGGGAGGGTGATTGGTACGGTTGATGGGGCGCGGCTGGGGGGTAGGGGAGACAAGGACCCAGCTCAACTACACCACCACCGCCAGCCCATGCCCAGCTAGTACTTGAAATCAAAATCAAGGAAGTGACTATAATTTTGGTGTAGCATGTTGTCGGTACGTGTTCCAATATGTCAGCATCCGGTGATGGGTTTGCCACGTTCCCGTCCCTCTTTCGCCCCCTCTCTCTCTCTCTCTCTCTCTCTTTCTCTGCCTTGGTGATTTTGGGGCCCGCCTCCACACCAACTCACACCCGCTCACACGTGCACGCTCTGTTGTAGCTGCTGCTGTTCCGCTCCTTCTCCCGCAAGTGATATTTATATAAGGTGAGGAATACCCCCTCAAGTGGCATTTTTGTTGGTTGTGTCTGCCATCTGGCCTCTTACCTTATATTGATTTACCTTGACTGCTGCTTCTGTTGCCGGTGCTTTTCTCCCACACACCCCCTTCTCTGTGTGTGCGAGTGTTGAGCACTCTTCACTTATTTTATTGATGTTGTAAATTTCTGGTAATTGAGCTTAATTTTTATACACTTGCCCCACAGACCCACCCTCCCCCACTGCCGTTTGCCATCAGCCATCAGCCATCAGCCATCTTCGTCTTTGTTTTATGTTGATTGCTGCTTGATGGCAGTGAGAGAGAGAGAGAAAGAGAGACCAAGAGTGAGAGAGGGGAAGACGCATTCGCCGATTGTCGGTTGAGAGATTTTTGAGGTATTCCGTTCGAACATGTCTAGTGGCTGACCAGGAGCAAAAGTCGAGAGTCGCATGACGATTGATGATAGAAGATGGATTATGGGAAGGGGAATTAGTGGAAGAGTGTACCGAGGAACACTCGATGTTCAAAGAAGAGCAGAGTGTCATACGAAGTGGACAGAGGAACACTCGAACGGAAAAGAGTCGAAAGGAATGTGGGTCACAAAATAAACCTGAGTGGAATTCAGGTCAAAGGTAGAGGAGCAAGTAATGGTACATTGCTTTTGTCCTTCTTTAATTGAAATTAAATGAAATAGTTTCTCCTCCTGCGTTTCCCCGACGAGACCATTCTCAATTACAGTTTCTCGGTGGTGCTTCTATCTTTTGGTTTTAGCTTTGACATTTTCGGCTTTTTCCTATATTATGCGACTGGGAGAAGTGCAGCCTGTCGGAGGAAAAACGCAAATAATGTCTATCGAAAACAAATCAATCACAGAAACTTCCTGTGTCTCCCTGAAGCAATCGAACACATGGAAATACGCGAATAAACCAACAGAAATACATTATTCTCGGATATAGAAATCCCAGGGCTTTTTTCTCAGGTTTTTCTTGAACGCCCCACGGCTGTTTCCTCTTTGCTCTTTGATCGGATCAGAAACTAATGGGCGACTGGTCACCGAATTATTACCATAAGCCTACTGGTTACGACTCTACGAAGTTATTGTTACCGATCAAACATCAAACGTAGATAGCCGCTTCGCATGTGTCAGTGTCGTTGTGTTGAAATTGTGTCGTTCAGAATTTTAGTCGCCGGGAAGCATTCACGGAGCTAGTGCTAGGGCCTGGGCTTAAGGAGGATGGAGGAAGCCAAGCCGCCACTTCCACCCGACGAGGCAATCAGTCGTGTGACTCTGTGCAGACGTGGATGCATGTCGTCCGGAAGAAGTTCGCAAGGTTCTGAAAACGGCCAGCCTTTTGAGGAGTTCAGCGTAGGATGTTGGTCAATGGCGAGATGTTTGCTCCTCCGTGAAGCAGCGAAGCTCCAGGTCCACAGGTAGCTGCTTCTTACGGCCGTGAATTGCAGATCGAAGTGGAACGCACGGCGGACTCAGACTCGAAGATCCACCTTAGCTCACTTCGCACCTTTATGACGGATAGGACACATAAAAGTGGTGAGTGGTGCCGCATCTGGAGGTTTGTGCTGGGGGCGCCTGTCATTACAAGGCAGTTCGAGCGGATTGCTCTTTCCTTGAGAAGTCTCTCTTATTGGAATCGATTTCGCACCGGACCGTCTGAGAGAAGGGCCGACATTGTGGAGGAGAAGTTACAGCTCGAGCAGGTAAGACGCGTCGAACAGCCCTTTCCGCCGCCTACAACGTCCCTACACCCCAGAAGCACAGATGATTCGCTCGATTTGCTGGTCGATCTGTTGATATTGTGCCTAGTACTACGATGCGACTAAACCAGTGGGATCGTCTGTACTCTGCACTCTGTAAAACTTCACTCGATGAGGTGAGTCCCGAGTCCTGAATCCCATATGCTATCTGCATCCAAGCTAATCCCTACCTCTTCCGCAGATCTCAAGGGCCCTTGTGGTGCCTTGTGGTGACATACCTCCAGCACTGGTCTCCAGACATCTCTGCCAACGTCTCTTTGCGCTGAGATCTGCAGTTCAGCTTTCGCGTCTGCCCGGGGTTCGACGCAAGATTGCTTGACTTGGGACTTGGGAACCCTCATCGCGAGAGAGTGTACCCAGGGACGGCCCTCGCCTTCGATTACTGGCTCTTGTTGCTTCAGATCCAGTTTCGAAGGGATATACAAATTAAATGTCACTTTGGTTTTAACGCTCAGATCTGAGTTTTCTTCACATTTAATGGATATTTGCAAGTTTAGGGACTTCTCAAATAGTTAATCTGTGGTTGCTTGAGCGTGAAGATTATTCTGGAAGTGTTCTAGCAGAGTGAAAAAGAGATGCTCCAGTGGTAGCGATTCCCCACAGAATTGCAGGCAATACCCAGAGATTTGCCGGCTATCTCTCAAGGCATCTACTGAAAGCCAGTGGATATTCCTAGGAGGCGAAACCTTGACCAGTGCGGAGTTCGACACAGTCGACACAATCGAGAGGGAAAGTTGTGGTGCAACCAACAAGCGTTTTTAATTGATTTCCCAACTAGAACTAGAGCTTCTTCTTGTTCATCCTCTTCATCGGGGTCACCCACTCTTCGCCATCCACCGCTTTTATGTGTGGATGTGGACGTATGTGTGTGTGTGTGTGTGTGTGTCTGAAAAGTTTACAATAATTTTTGAACATTCAATGGCCGCAACTAAAAACGCCAAATGCCATTGAGGGAATGAGGGAATGAGGGAGTGGGCGGCCAAGGGTTGGCTGTTGGGGCTCAATCCACAACTGAGACCCTATCACGGAAAAGCGATGACAAAACAGGAATCTGGTCGGAAGGGGGCGATGAATGAATGAAAACTTTTCCCAGCATTTGTCTGCTGGCATATTTTGAAAAGCAGTTTTCGAAAATGCACACACACAGAGTAGGGAATACGAGTAGAGACGGACACACATGCGAACAAGCTGGGAGTTCAAAGTTCAACGCATGATTGTGGAAATGGAATTGCCAAAGTTGGTCAACGGAGGAGGCTGGTGGAGTGCTACCGAACGGGGCAGCCGTCCGTCCTAGGGCGAAAAAAGTTGCAACAACACAAAATAGAGCAAAATAACAGAATATATATTTGAATACCCTCGCGAAAGTAGATCTGTCTTTGACCAGATATTCTCAACGCAGCGAAGCCACCATCACCATCAAAAGATGAGTCGTCTATCTGTTTCCAGCCTTCGGGGCTTTCGAGAACATTTCACAGACCCCTCCGCCGTATACAGTTGTACAGGTCGGAGCCGTCAAGATCGGATCCCTATACAGTATTGTGCTATCGGAACACTCTTGTTTCGAAAGATAGTCCGACTATATATCGGATGTGTGTGTAGTCAATGAGCCATCGATTCGCGAGGGTACAAAATGCCTCGGACCCCAAAACCAGACTCCGTTGCTTCTACTTTTTTATATAAATATATATTTTTTTGGGTGACATTTTCTGCCTCCCTTCCCCTTAAGTTTTTATACTTTTTTGCATAATTTCCTGTTCTCCCTCGCTCTCGCTATCTCTGTTTCTGTCCTCCCACTTCTCCTGTTTGGTTTGTTGTCATTTTCGATGACAGTTTCGTTGGGTCTGCCTTTTGTCCACAGTGCGAGACAGCAGAATGACCACTCCCACCCACTGTCGTGCCCCTTCAATGGGGGTGACACATGTGGGTCGAGTTGGGTGTCGAGGCGGTGGAGGTGGCGGAGGCGAAGGTGCACAGCTGTGTGCGAATCATTTTAATTTCATATCTGAATTCCAAAGTTCCTAATTGAAATTGCTTTGCGGGTCTCTCCAACCCAATGACGTTGGCAAAGAGAGCAAAGGACGCAGAGAAGGAGTTAAGATGGGAACGAAGGCAGAGGATATGGATAAGAAAGTGAAAAAGAGAAAGGAGAAACACCCAACAGAAGATAAGATATAATAAAATACCACTGAAATAAGTGCATACGTATGTATGGCAGCTATACAATTGTGATTTTTGTATATAAATGCATTTAATTTTATTTTTCTATCCCTTTGAAACTGGATCTGAAGCAACAAGAGCCAGTAGTCGAAGGCGAGGGCCGTCCCTGGGTACACTCTCTCGCGATGAGTGTTCCCAAGTCCCAAGTCAAGCAATCTTGCGTCGAACCCCGGGCAGACGCGAAAGCTGAACTGCAGATCTCAGCGCAAAGAGACGTTGGCAGAGATGTCTGGAGACCAGTGCTGGAGGTATGTCACCACAAGGCACCACAAGGGCCCTTGAGATCTGCGGAAGAGGTAGGGATTAGCTTGGATGCAGATAGCATATGGGATTCAGGACTCGGGACTCACCTCATCGAGTGAAGTTTTACAGAGTGCAGAGTACAGACGATCCCACTGGTTTAGTCGCATCGTAGTACTAGGCACAATATCAACAGATCGACCAGCAAATCGAGCGAATCATCTGTGCTCCTGGGGTGTAGGGACGTTGTAGGCGGCGGAAAGGGCTGTTCGACGCGTCTTACCTGCTCGAGCTGTAACTTCTCCTCCACAATGTCGGGGCTGAGGAACCCTGCAATCGATCCACACTCTGATCCCCCTTCTCTCAGACGGTCCGGTGCGAAATCGATTCCAATAAGAGAGACTTCTCAAGGAAAGAGCAATCCGCTCGAACTGCCTTGTAATGACAGGCGCCCCCAGCACAAACCTCCAGATGCGGCACCACTCACCACTTTTATGTGTCCTATCCGTCATAAAGGTGCGAAGTGAGCTAAGGTGGATCTTCGAGTCTGAGTCCGCCGTGCGTTCCACTTCGATCTGCAATTCACGGCCGTAAGAAGCAGCTACCTGTGGACCTGGAGCTTCGCTGCTCCACGGAGGAGCAAACATCTCGCCATTGACCAACATCCTACGCTGAACTCCTCAAAAGGCTGGCCGTTTTCAGAACCTTGCGAACTTCTCCCGGACGACATGCACCCACGTCTGCACAGAGTCACACGACTGATTGCCTCGTCGGGTGGAAGTGGCGGCTTGGCTTCCTCCATCCTCCTTTAGCCCAGGCCCTAGCACTAGCTCCGTGAATGCTTCCCGGCGACTAAAATTCTGAACGACACAATTTCAACACAACGACACTGACACATTCGAAGCGGCTATCTACGTTTGATGTTTGATCGGTAACAATAACTTCGTAGAGTCGGTGACCAGTCGCCCATTAGTTTCTGATCCGATCCAGCAAAGAGGAAACAGCCGTAGGGCGTTCAAGAAAAACCTGAGAAAAAAGCCCTGGGATTTCTATATCCGAGAATAATGTATTTCTGTTGGTTTATTCGCGTATTTCCATGTGTTCGATTGCTTCAGGGAGACACAGGAAGTTTCTGTGATTGATTTGTTTTCGATAGGCATTATTCTCGTTTTGTTTTTCTATACGTTTCGGGTCCTTCTTCGCCCTAGACCCATTTCATATGGAAATTTACAAATTTCACTTACACCTCTCACCTTAGCGTTCTTCTTCCCTTTCTAGCCTCTCCATCCAGGCGAATTCGGTTAGAAGTTTTGGCTTGTTCTTTTGTTGTTTCTGATTGCTTTCAAGCCCTGCAGCTGGCCTTCCCCCTTGAGCTCCGCTTCTCCTGGCGGGAAAACTCAATGCTTTTTCCAGCTGCCGCTTTTTCCGTATGCATGAATAACAGTACAAGCAGAGGATGGGGGAGAAAGTGCAGAAGGAAGCTGAAACAGTAACCAGAAATTCAAATTTTAAAGCTTTCGCTCATTTCACGCGTGATTTGCTCTTAAAGTGGAATTGACTCGCCCGGAATGGGTGGAGGAGGCGAGAATAGATGGGATTGAGCGGAAATGACTGGAAATGGAATGGGCTGGGGCTCTGGCCCATCCACACACAATGCCTTCATCAACACAAAATAAAAACAAGAAGGGAAATGGTATGGTAGAATGGTAGGAATTAAAACGTCCAGTGATGATGGGAATGAAACAGGAAGGAGAAACAGAGAAGAAGGATTCGAAACGGAAGAGAATGTAAGGGAATGGAACGGAACACTTAGCCTGTCTCATCCCCTATCCTTGTGGATGCAAAAATAAAATAAAAGAGTGCAAAATTAAAAAGAAACCGAAACCACTTTAAAGTTCGCGACTGTTTCGGCTTAAACTTGCCCTTTGACTTGTGGCATTGGCATGTTGCATACACAACGTCATAAAGCATACTTTCCACACCATGCCATGCCACCCTCTGGCATAGCTAAAAGCTCAAAGGGAGCGCAAAAAAAGGTGGTGCAAAGAAAAAACAATGTCAACAATGTTGCACTAATTGCGTCACAGGAAGGCAACGGCGCGGCGGCGCCACTGCCAATGCTTGTGCTTGTGCTGGTGCTGGTGCCTCTGCCACTCCACCTCCAGGCCACCTGCCCCACGCCCAACTGGTGTCATTCCTTTGCTGCATTGAATTAAGCAAAATTATTTTGTTCACTTGTTTTTGTGAGTCTGCGTCTGGTTCTGGTTCGGGGTCTGGTTCGAGGTCTGAGGGTGGTCTGGGGTGGACCCCGCCTGGCACCGGAGTGCATTTGTGGATGTACAGTTGCCACCTCTCCTGTGGCTCCCTCATAGTGTTGGGATAGTGTTACAGTGGGACCTAGAGGGCTTTTACTGTGGTATTGCATCCAGTGGCGGTACTACTCCAATGAAGAACCGACCTCTACAGATGTTCCCGCTTATGTGTTCACGGTTCTTCATAGTCTGGTCTCCCTGCGTTACCGTTGACTGCTTGACATCACGGCTTCTTCCGGCACTCCTTTCGTTTCTTACACTCTGCCATAAAATCGCTTGAAGGGCCGACCGACACTTGGCGACAACTGGCCAGAGGAGTATCCCATCCGCCATAAACCCTTTAGGAGAACGAGTATTTCGAGCAGTTTTTCAACTAAAGGATAACAAAGCCATGAATTTCATATTGTGCATTTCATTTGGCTAATGTTCCTTCCTTGGTAGCTTGTGCCACCATCTGTATCCTAAGCATCCGTGCGCTCTGCTTTTGCCTCCATCTGAGGCATTGGGTCTTGAAGGGAGCGAGCGAAAAGAAAAACGAATTATACATTTGTTTTTGTTTGCATTTAACCTAATTTGGATCGCCGTTGGCCGTTTACGCATGACAAACACGTCGCCTGGACAAGGGCCATAAAGGAATAAGGACACAGTTCCGCCTAAAATTATGCACCCGCACAAACACACACATTGAGGGACTGCTCTGTTGGCTGATGCAAATATTTATGACAGCGGGACACAATTTTCAAATACTTCTTTTCTTGTATTTCATTATTATTTTCTGAAACATTTTGAGAATTCCCACAGCGTGTGTCTTATTGACTGTCCCTCTCTCTCTCTCCCTAATAACAATAATACAAATAGATTCGAAAATATAAACTCTCTGGGACTTTTCTTCCCCCCATCACAGCTCCCCCGAGTCTCTGCAACTCCGGCTTTGGTTTTGCTGCTGGCAATGCTATATTTCATTGGCCTTAATAGAAAATGCCATGCACGGCCTTGTCTGCTTCCCCTTCTGGACCAACACCCCAGCTTCCACTTCGCACCCGTCGTCAAGCGATTTACTGGGCTGCTTTCGTCACTGCGGTTTCAATATGACAATGGCCCAAAAGGGAAACAGGAATGGTAAGTGGAGTTGGAGGTGGTGGTGGGGCCAAAACAAAAACAAATATTCCACAGAGAAAACGGCAAGTGTGCTCGAATGGGAAGTACCCTAGATGACGGGCATATTCATTTTCTCGAGGAATCTCCTCGATTCATAATATGACGAAACTTATTAGTCGGAATTTGTGGCCAATCCACCCTTCAAGTCGAGGCTAGAGGGTGTATATGTCTGACCACCATTAGGTCGTCAGGCGTGTCATTTTAAATAGAGTACGTGGCCACTCCTCAGACACTCCCCCATGACCACAGTCGGCTGAGGCAGCTCTCGCACTCTGCCCCCCAAGCGCCAATAAAATGCGTTAAGAAAAATAGTTGTAAAACGTTTGATGCATACTAAAATCGTTTGCAATTGAATTTGATGCTGTCCCCGGTCCCTGCGCCAGCTAACTGCTTACTGTCTACAGCTTACTGCTCACTGCTTACTGGCTGCTGGCCACTGGCCACTGCTTGTAAGCAGTCTGATGCTTGATGCTGGTCGCGTTTCGCAGCTCATTACGCATTTCTGTTGTGGCTGCGATGGCTGTGCTGTTATTTGTGGTTTGTTTGCTTTTCGGTGGATTTGTGGATTTGTTAATCGGTGGCAAAAAGGGTGACCCCAACCCCTCGCTCCCATCCGATTTGTGTCACTCGCTGTCTCCCTCCTCATTCCAGTATGGCGCCATCCATGTCTGGCTTAAGCTACAGCTCAGCAAAGTGATTAAAAAGCGGCAATCGCAGCTATCTGCCACCCTATTTCTATCGCTATGTTCATGTTTGCGGTGGGTATAGATATTTATACCCTTTGCTGTGGGTATGGGATAATCTCTCGATTGTATAGATTTTGTACAAGAGCCGTACAATAAATTTAAATGGGAGAACCTTAAAAAGATCCTTAAAAAGATCTACTGTGGAAGCAGAAGTAACATATGGCTTCTTGGTATATACATATCCGTATAGTGGTAATACGACAACTTTTAGGTGCAAGCTCATATACATTTGAACTAATCCTTGGCCTAAGTTCCGGCCCACCTACAAGAGTATTCGAAGTGTCGGTTCGCTAAACAGAATCCCAATTGTTTCCCACAAAGTTTGTTTGTTTGCTTTTGGACGACAGTAACCTTTATTACACACAAAGGCTGCTGGGTGTTGCTTGCCTCTACGCCAGCAGTCAACAAGCGTATCGCGTTAAGCAGTTAAGGTGTTTCCACTTTGTTTGGACAAAGGCAGAAGTTTCCCAGACTCGCTCCGAACTTGCCTAAACTTAACTACTGGCGGGCAGCAGTGAATATTGGTGGCAGTAGTGCGAGTACTTGCACTGTAAGCACCCACTGATAGCAGTGCCCTCCTCCGAGCAGCAGTAATTGTGGCAGTAATTAATAAACTGTCATATTTACGAGCGTTGGCCAGCTTAAAGGGGGCATGGCACATGTGTTGGCCCCGTTTCGGGTGCCTGGCTCCCCTAATTGGTTCAGCATTAGGCGAAAGTGAATTATTGATGGCTTAAGCAGCGCTTGAGGCGGGCTCTTCTTTTGTTTACAGCGGCAGACACCCAAGAAAAAAGCCAAGCAAAATGAGGAGAGCACCGAAAATTCCTTTTTAAATATGATCGAATAATAGCTCCGAGACCGAGGTCGTGCCCTCAATTCCGGCAAATGTTGCAGGGCCAAGCTGTTGTGGCCTCTCCTGCCATTCCCCCCCATAACTCCTCCAGCATGTGCGGCCCCTTCTCATGGTTTACTCCTTCGAACTGGCGTCAGTCATTTATGACGAAGCAATGTGTTTTTTTTTTCAATTCCCCGCCCCTTCGAAGGGTGGCAAGTGCTTGTGTGTGTGTCCTAATGAGCGGAATGCAGACACAGACAAGGACACAGTGTGAAAAGTGGGGTTGCAGGGAAACAGAAAGCTCCAGTAGAATATTTTCTCCCTCACACAGTGGCGTGGAATTGGAATTGGAATACACTCTTTTGTTCCTGCTTCAATCCATTCCAAAATCCATGCAGATATGAGAAATATTTCGCAGAGTCTCTGTTCTTAGCCATTATGCCTGTCCTTGGATGAGTAAGTGCATCGTATACTCAAATATATTGCCATATTCATGGCCTTTGTCCCACTGTGCATACTTCTGACATTGCAGAGGTTAGAGGGGCCGGAGCCAGGCCAAATGGTTGTCGTAGCTTTTGCGTATAAACATTTGGGCACATTCCGTTCAAATTATTTGCGCATTCGAGCAGCTGTAAACGATTACGCTGCCAATGGAGAAAGAGGGGGAGAGTGGAGAAAGGCGGAGAGTACCGATGCCGCGACTGGCTCTGCTCTACAAATACTTATCGACAGGCAAAAGGGCTATAGCCACTCCATATGTGTCTGTGTGTGTGCTCGTGGGTGTGTTGC